TGAGCATTTTCTTTATTCAGTGGTCTTATTTTTTTAGATGTGTCTGACTGGACCTGTATGCCTCATGACAACGTGTATTGTTACACACAAAGCACGTTAATGTAAAACCAGAATAATGCAAAATTTCAGACATGCCAGGGAGAGCTTATCATGCCTAGGATCTCTCGTTTTATGGATAACTTTTTGTCCTAAAATACGTGGGATATTACAGCCGTTTTGGAAATCATATGCAACCTTATTTCATACCCTTTACTTGTAAAATCATGTTTTTTTGTTTTTCTCTTGCTATTCGCGGAGCCCAATCATGATCAAACGCAGAGCCCAACGACTCTGTGATTCGCCTGCCCCATTATGCTAACGAAGTGGGGAATATAGTGAATTTTGCACAAAACACATTGGTCTACGACTCTAATAAACAAATGCAAAAATCACACAATAGGCATAGTCAGCCTTCTTTAGTATGTTTAGCTTTTCATCTATTTGGTTTTGGTATTAACGTGTTTTAGGTGTGACAAAGCACGTTGTCTTGAAAGCTAGGTTGCGCCCATTTTTATGGAGAACGGGATATACAGCAGTTTTGGAAATTCACCTATGCCTGATCTAACATGCTTTGGTTGCTGTGAAATAATTCGCCGATATTTCCACGTAACCACGTAATACTTGTTACTGCCTGCATATTATAAATTTACATACCCGACACATTTTCATTTCAGCGTGCTTGCAAGCTGCACAGCATTATTTTTGAGGGGTCACCTACTTTTTTGGTCTTTCAGCTTGTGTTTCGCTGTCCTGCAGACATGGCAGTAAAACACAACGGCCTTATAGGGAAGGTTTCACGTTTGAAGATATTGAAGCAAGCATGAGTCATGATGAAACAAGGTCAGCTATAGCTGATGACATACTTTTTAAGTGGAAGAGACTGCTTCAGACAGCATAACTCTCTATTTAATAAATAGGCTTCTCAATGCGCTTGGTTTGATTGCGTCATCGCACCTCGCACAACTTTGATAGAGAGCCAATTGACGGCTGATATATCTGGAAATCGCGCTCACAAACGCCACATATGAACGCCTTGACAATTATATTTTTGGCCTTGATCGCCGCATGGCTTATTGAATAGCAGGATTTCAATGTCGGTATCATGACGTCATGATTGACTACGTGGCTTTGAAATACTCTCCCCGGTGTAACTTTCCCCATTTTCCCGGGCGTATAGCTCAGAAACTAGAAGGGCTTAGGTCTTGAGAAGGGCATGATTGTGAGCAGCACGAAAAGGTCTTTGAGATATCGATTTCAGTTGAAACCCCCATATGAATGTGAGACATTCCCTTTAAGCAAAGTTAACTGAATGAGTCGCGAATTTCCACGACGAATGCGTAGCAAGACTTACTCACTGTCCGAAAAATTTGTGATTGCAGCTGCATTTTGTAGGCGTTTGTACGGGCGGACCGCAGCGCCCGATCGCGGAATGCCCACAGGAGCGTAACTGCGCAGCTCGCAGATATAAGTGGCCTCTGCTAAGCTAGCCCGACACGGAGTAAAGCTTCTTCCAAGCACGCTCCAACTGCACGCGAGCCTTCGCGACGGTCGACAGCGCAGGCGAGGGTCGTGTCGCCGTGCGCCGGCTCTGGCAGCGGCCGCTGGCCGGCCTGAGAATGGTCTCACGCTGCTGCCCACATTCCTGCCTCCTTCCGGCGCTGACCGCCGGCTTGACATTGACGGCCGCCGTCGGTCAGCTCGCCTCCTTGTACCGGGAGTCTTGGTTGCTCGGTCGCGGCGCAGCATGTTCATGTGTGCCAAAGGGCGCGGCAGGCGTCGTCACCCACTCTTTCGGAGAGCGCCAGGGGCCACCGACTGCGGGGGTAACAGTCTGCTAGGTTGTCTACCAGTCTGTCTGTCGCTCTGTCGGTTTCCGTCACTCCTTACGTTAGTCAGTCTGTCAGCCTGTCTGTCAGTGAGTCTGAGAGTTATCATCAATTCCTCTCAGTCAAACCGTTCGTCTTTCCGGCAGTCCGTCCGGTATCCCGTTCCGTCAGTCCGTCAGTCCGTCAGACCGTCAGGCCGTCAGTCCGTCAGTACATCCGTCCGTCAGTCCGTCCGTCAGTCCGTCAGTCCGCCAGTCCGTCCTTCCCTCGGCGGCGCCGTTCGGACGGGCGCCATGCTGGGTGTTGGGCGGCCCGTGCCCGCGCCGGCCGTCAGCGCGTCCTCGGCCCGTCGCGCCGGCCAGACAGTGCCGCCACCGTCGCCAGCTGAGCTGATTATGCGACGCCCCCGGCTCGGCCGTGTTTTGCGCAGTGGCTGGCGTCATGGGGCGCCGCAGGCGCCACCGTCTCGGCCCGACCCTCCGATCGGCCCGCCTTTTGTCGACAAACAACTGCCGAGCTGTGCGCGCCGGGCCGGCCCGGACCCGGCGGCCGGCCACCGGGCCGCCACATCCGCTGGCCGGGTAGAGAACGCGACAGTCATGCTAGCGCCCATTCGGAAGATGGATCTATGTGGCCCACCAGAGGGCCGAAGCGGGCAATCTTTCAAGAAGTGGGAGGGACCAACGACTTGCTAATCAGGCACTTTGTTTGTAAGTTGCTGCGGCGCGGGGTAAAATGTGAAGACGAAATACTGAGAGGACGATGTCGTTCTTAGGTCATTGGGCATATCGCCATAACAAGATGTCATCCATCTTTTGAAGGTCGGCTGTTGTAGTTCAGTGCCAGCAGCAACGGTGGGGAGGGGGAGGGGATGGGCAGGTCGGTCCACCGGCCACCAGGTAGCCCACAGGATGCGAATGAATGTTCTCGGCGTTCAGTCGAGAACTCTTTCGGCAAGCCACAATGTGGTTCGCATCTCATTGAGTGAATCGGAAAAGCTGGGAATAACGCTTCTTTGACGCATATTCATTTCGAAAGTGCGTACGGGAACTATGCACACAAGCAATCAGGGCGCATGCAGGCGAAGGTTTATTATTCACTTAGTGGCATACCTGGAGCCTAATATTGACATTTTCAGCGCTTAATTTCTTAATCCGCCCCGACTCTTCCAAGTCAGTAATATCTCTCTCCTGCACTCGACAGCAGCACACCAGGCACAGGAGACCTCGGAGTAAGCTGGATCGCCGGTTGTCGGCGCCAGTCATGACACGTATCACCACCAGAGGGCGCTCCTCCTCCAGTCCTCGGCACACAAGCACGCCTATATCTACACACACGCAGCAGCGGGGGGCGGCGCGCCTCGCCGGCCCGGTTTGAGCACAGTCGCCCTGGGGCACCGTTAAAAATGTCGCCGGCCGGCGGGCGGGCGGCGGGCGGCGGGCGGCGGCGGCCGGCGGCGCGGCCGGCTCGTCCGGCCCTCCAATCGGGGGTCAGGCGCGATCCGGGTCAGGCGGCGGCCGCCGGCGAGCGGCCTGGCCCGGCAAACACGTCCGCCCGCGACCCGGCGGCCCGGTTCGGCGCGGAGCCGGCCCGCGGTGTCAGCCTCCTCCATCGGCGACACTGGAGAGCGCACAGTCTCAGGGGGCGGCGGAGAAGCGGGCGGCCGCGACACCGGAGCGCGGCCAGTCTAGTGTATTTCGGGAGCTCGACCCCCGGAGCCGCGAGCGGTGTGCGGCGTCCAACATCTTGGTACTGTCACACCGGGGCGACCAGCGCGTCGGCGATTCGCTGGTGCGGTTCGGGCTCGGGCAGGGCCCGCGCCGGCGCCCCGCCGCATTTCTGCGCGGTCTGTCGGCCCGTCCGAGCACCTGGCCGGTCACCTGTGCGACGACCCTGTCCGTCCGGCATTGCCCGAGCGACCAAGGGCCGCGGCGCTTGGACACCGTCCGCCCGCCGGTCCTGGTCCTGGTCCGGCTGGCCGAGTCCGCGTGCCGATCTGCCGGCCGCCGGCGGGCGGTCAGCGGCTGCCGGCCGGCTGTGAACCGCCCCCGCAGCCCGCCGCGTGTGTGAGCCGAACGCCGGCGCGCACGGCCAGGGCGAACGAACTCGCTCAGCGGCGGCCGTTTTGCGTGCGTCCCGCCGGCGTCAGCGGTGTCCGTCAGCGCCGGCGTGATGGATGACGTCAGCGGCGTGTTCTGAGCGGCGCGATGAGCGCTGGGCGCCGCCAGCTGCCGGCCGGGCTGCTAACGGGACGCCGGCGTCAGGCCGGGTCGGGCCGGGCCGGGAGCGCCTGTGCCTGCGCCGCTGCCGTGCCGGCGGCTCGCTGCCTCCTCAGGGTGACGCCGCCAGCGTGGCCGGGTCAGCTGGCTGTTCACGGCTGCCGACAAAAGGGCCAGGTCAGAGGTCAGGTCACAAGCGTAGGGACGGCGACGCGACAGCTGCACTGGCAGGGACGCCTTGTGATGGCGATGGTCCCGCTGATGTCGCCTAACAGGCCTGCCTTGGAAAGACAGAATATGTGCTCCTCTTTGATGTTGACAATTCACTTCTAGGCTATCGTGCTGAATGTTCCTTGGCACCGTGACGCGTCTCAGTCGCACGCAGCTGGGCTGAAGGAATGTTAAAATGAAAATTAGCTCTCATGCCATGACTAATACCGGAGTTATACGCTCGGTATGAAGCTCGGTGAAAACGGGACCGCCAGGCCATGGGACCTTGCAAATCCCGAACTCGTTGAGTTAAGGTGATATTAAATGATCAGCATTTGGGCCAGATTCACCAACGATAAGTAGACATATACATTCCGATCAGCTCTGTCACGCTAAACCATCGAGACATATCGGGATAGGTCTTCCAGGTACGTGCCCTAGGTGCCGGCCAGTATAGGTTTCGACTTCAAGGAGCCGCGCATCGGTGCCGCAAGTGTTCGGCGCCCGGTACCATCGCATGTGTTACAAAGTTGGTGGAAGCAGCTCAGACATCAGCAGTCGCTCAAAATGTATTGCTTGCTAAGAGTAAAGAAAACAAGCCCTGTAAACGTAAAAAGATGCAGACCTTCTCGTGAACACACGGATGTGGTGGCGTCAGCGCCTCTGTGATACCAGAATGGCTCGGGACTTAGACGGTTCTTCCAATATGCCTCACTACGACGGCAAGAAAGTCAGTGATTGAGGAGACAAAAAATGTTACGCGGACACAACATCGTTCATAATGGCCTCATGCTGCATTAAATGTTTATGATTCAATGAGCGGTGTCGTAAAATCAAGGAAAGTCTAAACCCGGCATGGCGCGGCGCTGCTTCGGTGATTAGTCACTGTAAATGTTTTTGACCATCTGCCGCTCTAATCGTGTTATAATCAGTGACACACGAAAAAGTCGAACGATTACCAACTTTACGGTTATGGCCTTCGTATCGGGTATTTTCCACCAAGGCAGTGCTATCTCCCAAATACTAACCACTGAAAAGGAGGCGGAAAGGCCAACGTTTGTGTAAATAAGCTATTGCACCTAAGATGTCAATATTAAATGGCATTGATTATATTCTTCGGTGGGTGTGCATCCTTGAATCCCCCAACACTGGAAACCCACGTGAAAACTACCCCAACCTCATCCCTCCATGGCTTTGTCGTAACGGATCCAGCTATGCATTATACATTTTGCGGTAAATAAACCGGGCAAGATTTGTCACTAAAGGAATTTTCAGCTACATATGTCAGTCTTAAAAGGCCCATTTTCTGGAGGCGCACGTAAAGGTTATAAACATTTTGCTTTTTCTGCTAGTCAGTCCAACTATTGCACCCACCTTTACAGATTGCTTTCTGTACAAACCAAAACCAATGCGAATTTCTGCGAATGTTTCCAGTTTCAGATGCTTTCGAGGTGTTCGAAACACCATGAACCTTTTTTCGAGTGTCATTTTCTGCTGCTATTTCGATCATAGCATTTTGCGATGTGATGTGCCATAAATTTTAATGACATTTGATATGACTTCTCGCACGCATGCCCTCAAATTTTCACGGCATCGATTCAAGTTTACTCCTGGCAGCCCAGCAACGGCATGTTTACAGCGAGTCCCTTCAAATTTATGAGTGAGGCTTTCGCAAGATCGGCTGCGTCCAGCGCGCTTAAACGTTGAGCAAAGCCTGGGCTGCTCTCGCAGAGAAAGGAGTTAAACGGAAAAGAATAGTGGTTTCGGGTGAACAGCGCGCAACTTCGTACAGTCAAGGACACGTGTGGCCATACAGATTTGGTGACAAAGTGGCTCCCCGCCTCTTTAACGTCATTGGCTCTGCCAGGGAAAGGGACAGAGCGACGCACTTCCAGCAACTTTCCTGAAAAGTATATAGTCCCGCTCAACGTTATGGTGACTGTTACGTAGTTCATGCGCTCTGGTTCCTGCAAGCAGCAGAGTAAGACATATCGTGGGCACACGTCATTACGTCGTTAACGATTTCTTTTGTTGGAAAGCTCAATTTAAGTATGTACTGTTCAATGACAATCTTTATTTTGTGGAACCACCGGTTTTGATGACGTTCAAAAACTGTTGCTAGGAATTTCAAGCCATGCTTCCGCACTTTCCTTGTGGAAAGGATTGTGATTGATAACCTTCTTGATACACATCTTGCAGCTGTATATATATATATATATATATATATATATATATATATATATATATATATATATATATGTATATCCGATATTTGCCGACATTCGTGATGCTTAACACCAGGCAAAGATCACTGGCGGGAAAATGGTCCTGCCAAGAGAAATACGTGACGATGCAAGCTCACATGTGTTAGTGACCACCGTAGTCAGCTATTATTTTCCTAGTGCTTCTTACCCAGCATGGCTGCCAAGCACAGGAGCCTTGCTTTAATGAGCGCACTTATTTTTCTAATAAATCATTTATAACCTCGTTTTGGGTGCAGGCAATATCGTCGCCAGGATTCCGCCAATGCGGGGAGTGAGAAGATTTTCTTTAGGCCTCCATAGCTCTGCTTTTTACCGAATCCAGCCCACATCTTCATGCAGGGTGCCGAGTTCACACCAGCAAGGGCCCCTTGCCTTAACAAAGGGGTCTGAGCGTTTCTGGAAAGTTCTTAAAACGGATATTGATATTTGTCTTTGCAATTCCTCAAAAGAAAGTAGTATGCATACGCAAAATATTGATTTAGGCGCTCTTCGCGCGCGTGGAGAGTCACGCTGCGGCCCTCAGGGTGTTCAACTCCTCGAGGAATCATTCCTTTCGACCCCATCCCTATCCTTCCGTTTGAATTACTTCCAGAGCTATTTGTTGGAGCCCTGAGCCCAGTTGCCCTGATGCCATCATGCGAATTGTACCCATTAAGTTCACTGGATAATTTGGCACGGCGGGGTTGGCGCTTTTGGATATATTTGGCGTTTTTTTGCGGACGGGATAGCGAGAGACCTTGCTCGAGCCGTAAAATGCAACAGCACGTCCGCCCTGTGCCATCAGCCCTTTGTGGCCGGTAGTCAACACCCCTTCCATTGTTAGCCGGAATTAACTATCACCTCAGACGGCCTCACATGCAAAATCTTCTGGCAGAAAGAACACCGTGTTTTGGCACATGCTTGCCCATTCCTGACGTACGTGATTTCATGTCCTGTTCTGCATGTCACACCGTGGCCAGAACTCTCACTATAGGGAC